ACCATAATTCCACCCGCCACCGCTATGCAATAATTAAACTAAATAAATGTCAAAAAAAATATATAATTAAAAGATATGTTGATTATTTTTCTATTAATTTTTTAATAGTTATTAAGTATTCTTGATAATTAAATTAGTTAAAATTAACATTTTTAAAATTAATATTACGTAACCTTAGCATGTTTATACGTCACCATAATTACACCCGCCGCCGCTACGCAATAATAAGAAAGCACACGAAAGATCATCTTCTACAGCATCTTTTGCACGTGGCGGCACTTGATGAAACCAAAAAAGCTCCATTTTTCTATGCCCCGTGCCCATACCACCGAGCAATAGCATTAGGCATTAACTGCCACAACACCCGCTCTTGGCGTCCTACATAATAAGGCCGATTCATGCAATTCGGGGGAACAAAAAACAAGAAGAATAAAAAAAAAGAATAAAGTTGTTTGGTTCCCAACTCTTGTAAAAAAAAAAAATAATTCATCCCGTCGTTTTGGCATATATGCCAAAACAATTAAAACTTCTATTATGAAAAGACAATGTTTGGACGCCATTTTGACAACTAAATATACGATGAAAGCAATTAGTTTTAGTAAAATGTTATATAAAATTATTTAAATATAATTTATACAAAATAAACTGTATTACAGTATTCTCAATCTACAACATAACCCCTGCATCAGCCTCACTGATGTATTATTGGGTTGTGCACTACATCATTGTATCATCACCCCCGACAACTACTTTTACCCCAAATCCAAAACCAGTACATTGGTTCATGGTTCCTTGGTCCACGGCATGTTTCTATCCACGGAGAGTTTTATTTAATTTTTTCATTTTTTGTTCTTTTCTAAAGATCGATAAGGCCTCCTTCGATAATATTTTTGGGGCATTAATGTTTAATTTTTATATTTTTATTATTTTTAAAACATAAAATATTAATTAAAATAAATATTAAATATAATTTTTGTATTTTTTAAATATTAAAAAATTAATAACTACAATTATAATCCAATACACTCAGACTTAGGCCAGGCATCTTTAGTTTGACGTTTTCGAAATCACTCACTAAGCCATCTTTGACTTACAAGCTACAAAATTGGATTACTTTAATTAGTCCAAACGCGTATTTGAAAAAGAAACCGAAAAAAAAAAAAATGGAAAACGTCACCATGTGTGCTGCAGAAGTAATTGATGAGGTAAAGACTAAGGACGTGTTTGTTTGGAATAAAGTTATGAGAACAAGAGCAGGTAAATCCAACGGGAAAAAGGTTCATATGCAAACAAATTATCACCATCTATGTTCCTTTAACGATATGAGCCAAACTTGTCTTTCTTTCAAGATGACTTTTCAATATCGAAATCAGAGCACGTCCAGCACTTGGAGCCATACTAGCCCTCTCCTTGCAGGACGTGCTTAACACTACGTAAATTTGGATTTTAATTTTAGGTCCTTCATCCCTTTTTGTTGAAAAAATTTTTCATTGATAAAAAAATATATATATATATAT